TAGGTTAGTGAACTCAATACCAATATTTAAATGTACAGTACAGGGAATATATGACATTTATAATTTTGAAAATTTGAATACATTTACATTCAGCAACTCTAGTTGAAACAGGTAGCCAATTTAATTTTATATATTCATCAACCAACATGAGTTCGTGGATGAAGTCCCAAAACACATCTTATAACCTTATTTTGGGATGTTTGGAGTTTATTTTTAAGTTTTTGAGTAAGCGAAGAGAACCACGTACAGCACCCATATAGTGACATTGTATAAGTGAAGACCCAAGTAATTTCAGTGATTTATGTTAGATATTTTCTATTTCTGAAAAGAAATTTAAGTCTACCTTACCTAAGCCTTTCGTACCAGTGGATTTACCGCTAAGGTGCTGATCAAGATCAAAACCCAGGTACTTAATACAAGTTCTGGCATTTATCTTGGAATTATTAAAGGTAATATCCAGTTTTAATTGTCTTCTACACATATTTTGTGTTCCATATAATATGGATTCAGTTTTGTCTAAATGTAGCCTTAGTTTATTATCAATAAGCAATTTATTTATAGATTTTAGTTCTTCATTTAATTGAGTTTCAGTATGTTTTACATTATTACTTGATACCATTTACTGAGATGTACACATCATGTTTGCTATAGAAACTCCAATAAAAACTGAGCTACAAAATTTATATAAAGTCAAGTGAAACAAAATTAGTTTATAATACTTTATGTTTCTTATATTCAGTGTAGCACTGATATTTGCAGTCTCCAACAAAGGAACTTCTGTCCAAAATTGTATCCTGCTTTACATTGAGGCAACTGTCTGAATATTGGATATATTTTCAGTGATGATTTTTACAAGTTATTTGAAGTGTCTAATCATCCTTATGTCTATCACATCTAGTTTCTCTGAATCTCCTTCTGTCTCTTCATCCCGTGATGTTTTTGGTTTTAAGATTTCTCCAGGAAATTCAGTCTATGAAGGGATTAACATGACAGCAACTTGTTGGGCAGATTTATCATCTTTTTATAAATCTTCTTTATTTTGGCATTATATTGATATGACCATATATTACACGTTAGAAAATGGAGAGTGGAAAATATTGATGAAAGAATCAATATATATATTCAATTCATGTACAAAGACAATTTACATTAATAATGTGTCAGTGAAACATAGTAGAATGTATTGCTGTAATTTATTTCCATTGATTAGCAGAGAAGAATGCAGTTTCCTGACTGTTATCCCTTCTGCTCAACTTCCCCTCCCTACCTGCATATATGTCAACACACTTGTTGGATGTGTAACTACATGTTCTTCATTTCACGAGGACTCCTTGCATTGGTACAGAAATGATATCTTACAATCTACATCAGAAAGAATTGATGGCAATCTTAGTCTTGCACTGAATCTACAAGAAGACAACTTTGCAATATTTAAATGTACTGCAATGTTCAATGGCCACCAGAGATCTTGTGAGATTGTTCCTTTAAGAGCTTCCATCACTAAACATCCTCCAGAAGCCATAGCAGAGAATGAAATGGTAATGTTCAAGTGTGATCCCACAGGATATCCACCAACAATAAACATCAGTTGGTCCGTTGGATCAACTGCAATCAGTGATTTAATGGAAGAGGTGGAGTTCAACATCATTACAATGAAGAACCAAGAATTTCTTGTGATAAAAAATGTATCAAATGAACTAAATGACATGCATATTGCTTGTATTTTTACGTTGGATGGAATGTTAGATTTAAATGTTTCTATCAAATTAGATATGTTGAAAAACAATGTCATTCCAGTGGATGACAGTCCACATGCAGACAGTTTCATTAAATACATAATTCCTTTGAACATTGTATCCATATTTGTCATAGCGATTGTAATTTTGTGTTGCTATAGTGAGTGCAGACTGAAAAAGGAACTGCAAAGAAAAACAGCAAGTCTTCCACCAGGACACAAATTAGGTGAAGATGGTTACTTGGAATATAAAGTAGAAGAGGACACTCAATATCCAGCCAGTGATAATGATGATGATTACCAAACTATTGATGAGAACACTAATGCTGTAATATTAAGTAACAAGGACATGAAGATGTATGAAACTTCGGTGTAAATGACACTGTATAACTCTATTAAGATAAATACGTTTTTAATACAGAGAAAGTCTAGTGAATAATAAAATATTTACTGCAGCCTAATTCTAACACTGTAGGAACTTGAAAGTATCAAAATATATTGCTTAGTTTGTATATTTCATCAGCGAGTTGTTATGGTGACTGGAGATCCAACGCTGTCCTCTAAACAGCGATTATAGCCTAAAGCCACAATAAACCAATTAAGAACAAACAACCGTCGATTATGAAGGCCGTTTACGAGCTTTAACGAGGCCTTCGATTTATGATTATACAGACCGGTTCCACAGCACAGCACAGCAGTCGGGGAGGGGGGGCGAGGACATAAACAGCATACCAAGAGTCCGAGTTTACCCTATTAGTAAATCCCTATGCGCAGTTTAAGTTCATAGTTCAACCATTGTTCTTTCGATGCTCTGTTGATCGGTATTTCACAGCCTCTATTTCACCGAAAAAAGCAACAAAATCTGAAAATTTTTTGTTTGTACTTGCGTGAAAGTTAACAATGCCTCTAATTTTAGAGGAATTTTGAGGATGATTTAAACACCTTCCTAACAATGAATCCTGGTGTTATAGGTACGTGCTTATACCCCTGGTACCCAACAATAAGCTGTGCCCATGCATCTTCGTAGAGAAAATTTTAGATTTGACGATTTGTCAGGCGATGACGTCATTGCACAGTTTTTGTTGTGTGGTAATTGCTATTTAGGGATAGGCCTGCATTTAACATGGTTAGGTTTAATCTCCCTGATTTCATTCAATATTTACTGTAGTTCTTATCAATTAAATTAATTTGCTATAGTCTTTGTATATACCCTTAAATGCCTGGGAGTAAATGTAAGGTTTTTTTTGTTGTGGTAAAACTTCTGTAAAATGTTATTTTATTTATTTCAACAACGGTAATTGAATTCTGGTGTGAAAGTCAGTACAACAGGACAATCAATCCCCTACTTTTTTCTAAAGAGGGTACTTCGTTGTTAAACATTTAAATGAGACCCTATTGTGTAAGGGACCAACGCTTTGCATGTCTTGTCAACTAACAGTGAGCATTCTTATACTTGCATTTCAGCCATTTCTTGCAGAGGATGGAATTAAAAAATATTATTAAACAATTGATGATTTGCTTATTTTGAATTCAATTTGTAGAAAGGGTTAACGCAGTAGGAATGGTTTCGTTTCCCAACCTCGAGGTCGGATTTAGATTCCTCGCTGTGCATTTCAATTTACTGTATCAACTTTTCTGTCAGGAATACAAATAGGTACCTGTTTTGTTGCCTACTCCTGTGCTGATTACAATGGAAACCTAAGCATTTGGACTCACTGACTTGGGACAGAAGTGCTTTATATGTCTTTTTAAAAAAAAGAAAGGCACTAATATAAATAAACGGATAAATACAATCAATTAATAATTAAATTAAATTACATACTAAGATACTACATTGTAAATATTAAGGAAGTCTGGCAAGAGAGCACCAAGATGTAAATACTGAAATTGATTGCAAGATAATCAATGAAAATATATTGTGTAAATAATTGAACAGATAGTCCGATGATAATGGTTACTAAATATATAAAATGCCATAGGCTATATACACCAATATTTAACTTCATGTAATAACATCACTTTATTCTATATAAAACAGTTGTGTTGCTTGATTTTACAGTGGCATAACTCCTATGAGCTCTCACTGGCTGCCAGGACCTTAAACCTTGAGAGATAATGGGATATTAATCAACATTTTCATATACAATTTTGTATTTAGATATTTCCTACAATGAAGAACAAGTAAAAAAGCACAGTGTCAGAACCAAGCTAAGGTCTGGCAAACAGGACCCCTGTTGTAGAATGTAGACATTTGTTGAGGATGAGCCAATCACTTTGTCGGGTAACACTGATTTGAAAAAGCATTTCAGGCTAAGAATGCCATTTAGGGGTTCTAGGTACCCTTTTTAAAAATTTGCATGATGCCTGAGGTTTGTGTGTGTGCATGGAGGTATAAAGTGTGTGTGTGTGTGTGTGTGTCAGGGATCTTGACCTCTTGTTGTGGATCTAGAATGTCCTGCCTGGATCCTTGTACTCCTCGTTAAGAATCTCTGGCGCCACCACTGAACTAGAGTAGAATTTTTAACCTCAACTTTGAGGAATCACACCCACTTTACCAACTTTTCCAAATCATAATCTTTAATAGTATATTCTTTATAAACAAATTACTTTTTCGAAGTCGAGTCTAGAAAGAGCCTTTTGCATCATATCCATTAATGCTATCATAAACTGTGCACTAATTGTAATTTTTACTATGTACTATATGCAGTGCAGAGAAAAGCAACTGAACAATTCAGAATTGCACTATTTGAAGCCCATTTACAAGTGACTTTCAATGGATAAACTCAGTGTAAAAAAGCGCAGTGTCAGAACCAAGCTAAGGTCTGGCAAACAGGATCCCTGTTGTGAATGTAGACATTTGTTGGGGATGAACCATAACTTTAGGTATCTGTATTAACGAAGTTAATCATGGGAAGGATTAATTGCCCTCTAACGTTATGAATATTAATCAACACCCATGAGCACATTGTTTGTAGGTACCATTGCCTTCCCTCCAAGCTACAGTATAGCCCAGCCTTTTGCTGATAATAATGATAATAATGATTCTTTATTTTGTCCTTGTACATGTCTAGTATATTTGTAAGATAATTTTGTGCATATGTTTGTCTTATTGTAAAGAGATTGTCACTTAACCTTTTTGTTCTGTTTTATCTCTATCTTTATATTGTAGTGTATCTATTTTTTTTTGTTTTTTGTTGTTTTTTTTTGTTGCTGTTGCCAGAGTATGGAGAGTTCAGAGTTCATACAGTTCCTTTTTCCTTCTCAGCTTGATCTCGGTGATAGTATCAGGAGCTGGCGCATGTTGGAGCGTTTGAGTCTGCGAAATAACAAGTTAAGTCAGGTCAGTATTGGAGGTGTTTAATGTTTTATTTATGATCATGTCATTTTGTCAACCAATCAGAAGCTGACAAGTGATTTATTGCAATGTTCTGCAACCAATGGGACTCGATCCAATGTTTGGGTCGCGTGCCAAATTTTTGATTGGTCGCATAATCTTTTCAGATCACGAAAAATTTGAATAATACGAACGGCGACAAACAACATATTACAGTAAAAAAAAGTGCATTGAAAGTGCATGGCATGTGCGTCTGTTTACTTTTGTAGTGCGTGCATTATCAATAGTTTCATGTTGGATAATACTGTTTACTATCAAAACATTAATTACTTCAGGTATGTCAACTTGAAAGTGTTAAATTTGTTCAGTACAATGTGTTTGGCTTTCAGATAAAAAAAATAACAAGAACAATTTTCTCATTCTCAATTAAACATGACTATGTGTCTTTGCATAACCCATAAATTTCTGTCAAAAAATATATTGAATTATGTAGTAAAATATCTGTCTGAACAATGACAAACAATACATTACAGTAAACAAAAATGCAATGAAAGTGCACGCCATGTGTGTCTGTTTACTTTTGATATCAATAGTTACATGTCAGATAATACTTTATACTATCAAAACATTTTTGCTTCGGGTATTGCATCATGAAAGTTTTAAATTTGTTCATTACCATGTGTTTGGCTTTCAGATAAAAAATGTAACAAGAACAATTTTCTCGTCAATTAAATGTGTCTATCAACATAACCTATAAATTTCTGACAACAAATCTAGGGAAAAATGTAAAATGTCTGTCAATCATTTATATTTAAAAAGTCCTTAACTTATTGAAAGATATGTTAATGACTTATTTGGTTTTGTTAGGTGAGTAATTCAAAATGATATTTTATGGGGTTTTAAATTGATTTTGTGGGTGCTGGTATCTTTTAATTGGTTAACAAAAGAATCAAGTGGGTTGTTGATATTCACTGTCCCTTCCGGCCCGCGAGTATAAAATGATGGACGTGATGTATTGACTTAATTCACTCAAATGAAAGAAAAAAACATTGAATCATTTTACCATGGCATTCAGGTGAGAAGTTAGCATTTGAGTTTGATGGGTCAGGGAACAGTGAAATTCACTGTTCCCTGGATGGGTCACATCTGAGTGCTTGACATTAATTTCGGTTGTGGGTTGTGGAATGGGGATTTAGTTATATGTTACCAGTGTATAATTTGGCAGTCTATTTGGGCTGATATTAGGAAGTATGAAATATGGGATGATACAATAGGAATAATGTTGAATGGAAGAGCAGATAGCTCAGTTGGCTAAACTGTTGCCACTGGCTGTGTGTGGTGTTTGTGCAGCTATAGAGTAAATTGAAGGATATGCAATTTTTGGGGTAACCCCATCAGGGTATGCCTATATAGGGCCTCAATAACTTAAGGAAATTTTGAAAGTTGATGTTTAAATGCATATTCCACTGCTGTGAATCATATTCCAGCCTCCCACTGTAGTTCACTAATTAATTTTAACATTGAACAATTGAAAAATTTAATGAACAGAATAGGATGAGCATGAAAAGACCTAGAAGAGAAGTATATAACACATTCATATCTATAGTATACAAATATAGACTGCTCATGAGGGGAACAGTGAAATTTATTGCCCCGAGGTGATGTGGAGACCGTAGCCTTCCTGAGGGCAGAGGGAAGATAGACTACGCTCTCCACATCACCGAGGGGCTTTAGATTTTAGCCTTCCCCGAATCTAGAGCAGTCAATATTTGTTTTATACCTCATTCTACGAGACCTAAAAAGTAATGAAAAGAGTACACACCAAGGAGGCCATAGGCTACTTCTTAGGGCTAGGTGATCCAAGGGCCAATCTCTCTCAGTGCCATAGAAGTAGCGTCCCCACCGTCCGTGCATGTCATAAATTTCATAGCAACGTTATAGGTGGCAGCCTATTACACATTGCAACAGGTCAAAAACATTGCAACAGGTCAAAAAGTACATTTAGGGTGATAGTACAGTACTTCAGCCCTGGGAAAATATCATTCAAACCTTCGTCATAGGAGTGATGATTGAATTATTGCCCGCTTCTCCGGATCAATGTATGGTATGATTCTCATCAATATCACCATGGCAAACACCTTGTATGCGTGGTTCAACAGTCCCAACGCCCTGTAGTTTCTTCGGTCGTTCTTATTTTTCTTTTTATAGAACATCATCATTTCACCTGTGACAAGATCTTCTGGAACTATTTCTGTATCCCATATGGTTTGGATTAATATGAAGAGTTCATAGCATGCAGATTGGTTGTTATTATACTGCTCTACGGGAACTGCATCATGTCCTGGGGCTTTGCCAGATTTTAGTTTTGATACACATAACACAACTTCTTCGAGACTGATTTCTGGCTCTAATATTGTTTCTGGAAGGTCATTTAAGTCAACATATGTTTCGGTTGGTAATGATGCGAATTTATCTTCGAGAAAGGTAGCCCATGATTCTAACTGTTGCTGTGTGCTAGTTATGGGATTTCCTTGGAGATCCTTTGAGGGCTGGCAGAATGTGTTGCTCTTTCCCGTTGATGAAATTTTCTTTATCAACCGATATACTTCTTTATAATTTCCAACTGACGCTGAAGTTTCCATGTCACTGATTATGTCGTTGATATAATTTCTATAGTCATTTCTTGTTGATCTACTGATCTGTTTGTGCATTTGCATACGCTGAGCTTGGTCCAGTCTATCCCATTTCTGCATTCTTTCAAAAACAAGAGACTTTGTTGTTTCACTAGTATCCCATTTTCTTTGGTATTGTGGTTTTTCGTTTGGAATAGCTTCCTGGGCTTTTAGCATTGCTGATTTTAATCTTTCCCACTGGTCGGCTGGCGATATAGGTCGTTCCGTTTTTTCAAGGGTCTCCTGTAGTAAAATACGATGTTTTAGTGCCACATTTGGTCTTTTCAAAGCAGAGAAATCCTTCCTATGTGATCGTCGATCACACTTTAAGCGCAATTTAAACGTGATTGAAACAAGGGCGTGATCGAATTTTCGCCCATAGGCTTGTATTGGTAGTCCCCAGGTAGTCCTACTCCCTCTCACGGATGATGACCACCTGGAGCTAGTTATGATGTAATCAATCTGACTTGGTGGTTTTTGGGCGACCTTGTTCATGTACGTCGCGTTAGTGTGTCGTCGAGGTGGTTGGAGATATGTGCTAATTGCTTTCAGTGAGTATGACTTCAAGATTTCAAGCAGTCGATTTTGAAAGTTAATGTTTAAATGCATATTCCACTGCTTTGAATCATATTTCAGCCTCCCACTGTAGTTCACTAATTAATTTTAACATTGAACAATTGAAAAATTTAATGAACAGAATAGGATGAGCATGAAAAGACCTAGAAGAGAACTATAACACATTCATATCTACAGTATACAAATATAGACTGCTCATGAGGGGAACAGTGAAATCTATTGCCCTGAGGTGATGTGGGAACCGTAACCTAGTCCTGAGGGTCGAGGGAAGATAGGCTATGGTCTCCACATCACCGAGGGGCTTTAGATTTTAGCTTTCCCCGAATCTAGAGCAGTCAATATTTGTTTTATACCTCATTCTACGAGACCTAAAAAGTAATGAAAAGAATACACACCAAGGAGGCCATAGGCTACTTCTTAGGGCTAGGTGATCCAAGGGCCAATCTCTCTCAGCGTCATAGAAGTAGCGTCCCCTTTACCGTCCGTGCATGTCATAAATTTCATAGCAACATTATAGGTGGCAGCCTATTACACATTGCAACAGGGCAAAAAGTACATTTAGGGTGATAGTACAGTACTTCAGCCCTGGGAAAATATCATTCAAACCTTCGTCATAGGAGTGATGATTGAATTATTGCCCGCTTCTCAACCAATCAGATGCCTAGAAGCTATGTATGCGGTATATAATTATTTACATTTATTTTATTTGTTACCTCTGCCAAAGGAGGTTGTGTATTCACCGCTGTCTGTCAGCAATATTCAAAAAAAGAGATTATTAAATTTTGTCTGTGGAAATTAGATTTTTTACCCCAAGCATAATTAATGGAATGGCTCGTCATACACGGTCTGCCTATTGTTCAGAATTCAGGCACAGGCCAGAAAATAATGGAATCGCCCATTATGCATGCCTGCGTATTTTACGTATTCTGGTTGTAGGTACAGTATGCACCACAGTATATGGAAGCTCTATTTTCCTGCTTCTCAACCTTTTTTTAGGTGGCCACCCACTTTCAGAATACACATGCTGTGGCGACCCAAGGTAAATACAGTGCCATACCAAAATGAAATTGGCATATTATGTGCTGATTACTTAGGTCCCAGGGATCAACCTTGGATAAATCGAACAAGTAGAGGTGAAAAATCATTCCAAAGTTTCCGAAAAATTCACACGTAAAAAGATCAAACAAACTCAAAAAGCAAAGGAGCAACTAATCATTTTAAACATTTTGTTTATTAACTGGTACGTCTTGTTAATGTGAGGTATTCCTGCCTAATTTTAATTGTCTTCCTTAGAGAGATTGGTGACAGTGCAACCATTAAAAGTTGATTTTAGGTTTTGGATTGACAATAATTTCTAGCTTTTGTCTTCGTAGCTACACCTGGGTGTATCTCATATGTTGGTTCCTTTGGCTGCTATACAAAAGTATTTTCCGCTTTGTTTTGAGATGCATTTTACCGGTTTTTTTAACATTTTTTTTAATAAGTCAGAAGCAATCTCACGACCCTCAGAAATGTTTTGGCGACCCAAATTTGCAGGGCTCTATTTTATTTTGTTTTGTTTGATATTTTCTTTTAAATTGTTCATTTGTATATTTACTTTACATATATTTAATATTTAATTTATTTAAATAATGTAGCAATGTTGTCTTTCCCTACATGAGGAATTATAATAATTATTGAAGCTCTTTACAAACATTAAAAGATTCTATTTTTAGTTATTTTTCAGTGAAAATGCCAATTTTGTATTTAACTTTTACAGTGCATTATATATATTGTTTCTATATTGCATTATAGATACCTAAAGAATTAGGGCAGTTGACGTCACTAACAACCCTTGACTTGAGTCAAAACCGTGAACTTTCAACTTTACCTGACGAGCTTGGAAGACTTAACAGATTATGGGAAGTAAGCCAGATGAAAAAATATTTTAGAGTAGTCTAGTTCAGGAGTAATTATTCAAAAGTACAAATACATTTTTTACATAAAAGTTTAGAAAATAAATGTTAAAAAAAACATGTTACAGTATGCTATATTGTAAATTAAAAAATAATAGAGTACATGGAACAATGTTTTAATAACCAATTTAAGTGAAATGACCAATTTCAGAATATGAATACATAATTTGACTCACTATGAATATGCTGAAAAATTCTAAAATGGGAACCAACTATAAGGTGAACAAATTTGGAGTAAAGAAACACCTTTAAACCTAATTGTAAATAGGTAAAAGTTACAAAACATTAAAATTGTCATTTGATCTAAAACTGTTAGAATGATTTATCATCAAAAATAATTAATAAACTAGATAAATTTTAGATATTTAATTTTCTCATGAAATGGAATTGTTTGTTTTTAGCTGCCACTTGATGGGTTGCGGTTAGACTTGCCTCCAGCCATTTTAAAGGGCAGAACCAAAGACATAGTGACCTTTCTCCATCAGAGGTTAAAACGAGCCGTTCCCTACAATCGTATGAAACTGATGCTAGTAGGTTATGGAGGTCGTGGGAAAACAACCTTGATACGCCGGCTTCAAAGGGAGAAGGTCTCAAAGAATATTGCAACTGTTGGTGTCAATGTTAAAGAGTGGAAGTAAGTTGTAATACACTATTTTAGGTCCACTAAAAACAAGTTCTCGTAATTTTGAAAACTCCGATGAGGGCAGTATAATATTGGCTATAGAATATATTGGCCCTTATATTAAATATGTTACACATTGGGTTCATAATTGCAATTAATTGCTACCACTAACAGGACACATTGCATAAATCGCGCAGTAGGTAACGCTGTGTTGTATAAGCAAGTTTGGAAAGTGCTAAAATTGAAAAAAAACTGTCTTAAATTAAAAAAAATAAAACTGAGCACCAACACTTTGTTAACTGATCGCGCCATCCATGCGACGTGTCCTATTAGCGGTAATGGCAGTAATTTACAGTCCTGTCATGCTCAAACCCCTATTTTGTTTTGTAGGTGTATGGGGCACTCTGGGGTCCAACTTAAAAATAATTAGAATTTTCATTAACAATAATTAGAATTTTCATGTGTACAAAATTAAAATGTGTTAAAATTAGAAAAAATAAAATGTTTTAAAAATTGGAAAAAAAATTAAAAATTGAATACCAAGACATTATTCGAATTCACAACCTTTGGTTCCGTTGATCCATAGGCTTTGCCAGCGAGCTGTCCGGCCATCTTTTGGACGGCCTACAATTATTTAGGATGGCCACTTTTACTGAGACGGCTTGGACGGCTTTGCCTAATCAGCTCGGCCTAGGCTAGCCTACAGTAATTGGGCCTGGTCTAGGACTACCTTTAGCAAATTCTTTATTTTTCAAATCTCTCGAATGTTAAACTAAAGCTAAATCGTATGTACGTTTGATAAAATCAACATTTATTGATTGAATGTATGTTGTTTTCGTACCAATATTCGGTGGGGATTCCCAAAGATGGGCGTGGCCCGCCAATCGGCTCAATGCCACACCCACTATCTTTCATTTTGGACGACTATTTCGTTTTTCTAGCTAAACTCTTGCTTTGAACACTTTGTTAACCGATCGTGCCATCCATGCGACATGTCCTAATTAGTGGTAATGTCAGTAATGTAGTCCTTGCTGAAACCCCTGTTTGGTTTTGTATGTGTATGGACCACCCTTGGGTCCAACAGGGTCCAACTTAAAAAAGGGCCATGAACATTTGTTGGAAATCTGCTCTAGTTTACATGGGGCCTTTTAACAAGTTTAGGGTGTAGTAACTTAATTATGTTATTTCCAACATTCCCTTTGATTTGTGTATATATTCCTTACTGTAAGGTCAATCAAACCATCTGACCATCTTTTATATATTTTGTTTTCAATAGAATATCTGTTAAGCATGACCGGAAGCCTGTTGATTTCTTGTTAAGTACTTGGGACTTTGCAGGCCAAGAAGACTTCTATAGTACTCACCCTTGCTTTTTAACAGGAAGAGCGCTTTATTTAGTGAGTATTATAGTGTTGCAACGTCAATGTGATTTTTGATTTTATTTATTTTTGAATTTGTAATTTTTGTAAGATGGATTTTTAACCTCCTATTGCTAATGTGGTATATTCATTTGTCCCTGTGCCATCATAAGTACTATAGCGTAGTATTCACATGGCCTCTAGTACTCACATATCACACAACTTTATGTCGCCCTTGCGACTTGACTTAACTGGTATCAACTGACCTCAACTAGTTGCTGGTCACTCTCATCAGCATTCGCTCAGCTACAAGCAACTTTGCAGAACTAGTTGCCCAGAGCATTTACATTGCTTCCAACTGTAGAGTGGTTGTATCTACAACTGGTTGCCATTTGATACAGTGCCTTAGCATGAATGGCACCCATGCAGTTAATAGATTTGAGTTACTACTACTGTCACATGACTATTCAATTATTTTAGGTTGCTTTTGATTGCAAGGAGCACTTATTTCACTTCAAATCACTCGACTTGCAGTGCTGTCAGTTGCTCACACCACCATTGTTTCATGATTGCATTTACGAAAGTTCACAAATGTCACATGTGTAAAAACTAGTTCCAGATTTCTCTAATTTTTTTTATTCTCTTAACATTCTTTGTTTTCTGTATTTTTTTGACAGCATTAAATAATGCTGTGTATTCAAATGTTAATTAAATTTAGTTTCTTTTTGCATTCTTCAGGTAGTGTTTGACTTGAGCAAGGGAATAAATGAGATTAACACTATTCGTCCCTGGCTGCTGACCATTCAAGCACTGGCACCATCATGCCCTGTCATCTTGGTTGGCACTCACAAAGATAAGGTTCCAAAAGGTGTGTAAAATAAAAGTGTGAAAGGTATTTCCTTTATTTTCATAGTATCAAACTCGAATGTTCACTTAAATTAGTAGCAAATGTAGTGTGTTAGCAACAAAGCACAGTGGGTAAAGCATCTACAAAAAGCAAGTCATGATTTTGGACATTAAATGTCCTAAATAAATTGTATCCTTCCTGTAGATTTGTCAGCATTTCAAATAACATGTATCTCTTTGTGTTGGTGTATATCTATGTACATATTAATATCCCTCTGTGATACAAATTAATTATATCTTGTTTCCATCAACTTTGCCATTTATTCATTTAAATTACATGTTAGAGTATTTAGCTTCCACATTTTCAAAGCTCTCTGGAATTTCTTTGAGAACAGATTAATCTATAATGTTAATGACTTGTTCAATTTACTGTTGTTTACTATGATTCAAAAAGTACAATTCTTCAAAAGATTATTAATTACTGTATATTGTTAATGAAGTGAATAAAGCTGTTGCAAATTAGATTCATAGCAGTTTATATATTTAAATTTTTTCATGATTGTAGTCCTTCACAGCAAATGCTGTCTGAATGAGGGCCTCTTATACAAAAGGCAAACAATGAGTAAACATAAGAAAGCAAAACTACTTACCCTTTCAACAGATATGCTGCTACAAATACATAAAACAAAAACCTAGAAAATTACCCCTATATATGATAATCATGTATCATCTTCCAAAGTCAATAATAGAATGTTCTGTGATTTTCAGACATTATACTATGAAAAATATTATATTTGATGGAAGAAGTTTAAAGGGTTTATATAAAAACTATTCAGAGTCATTTAAGTTGTTGAATAAAGTTATATATAATAATATAAAAACTATAACAAAGGTATATTTAAACATCTGTTAATTTTATCATCCAATCAGATCAGCAAGATGTAATCCTATCCGGAATTAGTGAGCAGATCCAACAGCTTTGTTCTGTACGTGGTTTTCCAAAAATTCAAGAGTATGTGGAAGTCTCGAATACATCCGAGAATGAAAGCATCGATCATCTACGCAAAGTTATTGCAAGAGTTATTGAGAGGTAAAATTATGACACATGTTATCTCAAAGAAAAACTGTGATATTTGGATAAGTTTTTGGTTTTGTTTATAAAGTAATTATTGTTAAGATTATAATGAGGTTAGTTGAAGGTGATTCTCACATGACATTTTAGCATTATAGCATGTATTTATTCTACTTTTCCTAAAGGAAATATAAATAACTGAGAGCTCTCTACTCTTTGGATGACTATGTTGCAGCATTTCATCATTTCAGTTTAATCAGTTCATTCAGAGAGATAAAAACAAAACAATACAAAAGTACAGAAACAGATAAAAAGTACAAAGAACAATATCAACTGAATGAACTGAGGAATATACCCAAGAAAGTTTACAAGTAAACTTATTTCCATTGGGGTCCTCAAGACAGAAAGAAAACATTGAAAATTGCACTAAACCTAACCACTAAAAATCTTACCAATAATTCAATTACATTAAAATTGCATATTACCAAAGAAAATCAAACAAATCAAAGAAAGCAGCACATCAAAAAAAATATGAAGAAATTTATCAAAACTTCGCATGAATTTCATATTTTTAAAATTTCTAAATTTGCCACTCACTTTCTTGATCCCGATAACTTTTGATTTTGCTTCGTTAACTTTTCTTGTTTGTGGGGAGTGTAATAATATAATTTTCAATGTACAAATAATACTTAAATATGTACTATCAGTCAAAAAGACAAGCAAATACCTCAAAAATTAAAATAAAATTTGAATCTCATTTGAAATGATCAAATAAATTATTATGAGAAACAGATAAAAACAAAAAGTTTTTACTGATTTACAGACATTTTACTACAATAATCCTTAAATTGATTAACAGCCAATTTTTAATTTTAAGTTAATAACTTAAATATATAAGTAATAAGCAAATGAAATGTGGAATTAAAATTTTCATTTTTTTTTTTACCTCATGACTGATAGTACAATACATCTTTAAAAGCAGAAGAAAACTCAGAAAAACAAAATAATTTTCTATTTAATGATAAGTCACATGATAGTAAAGTTGGGTGTGAAGAAACACTAAGTGATAGATAATCAATTGTTTCAGAAAAACATGATTTAATTATTAATTGACTACAGTATTCGTAGAACGCCTGCCACACACTAGAGTAAACAGTCTAGCAGGCAGACATGAACAATTATTAGCAAAGTTGTTTGCCTCGCGGAATTGGAAAATGTATATGGTACTCCATTTTCAATAATTTTTTACTAAAGTAGTCAAATCCGTGTGATGAACTTAAGCTGCTAGCTGGCTGAAATTAATCTACCAATGACATCGCAAAGCTCATTTATTAAATAATTGGCATCCACTGCAAATTCGAGAATAAAGCTTAACAAAGTTTATTTGAGACTCCGTGAACTGTTTACTTAATCTGAGTACACTACAACGGTTATCAGCCAACACCATCCCATAGAAAATGCAACGCGACAATGCATATAAAATATTTTTGTCTTGACGATTCACTCAGGCTGTCACCGTAAATCACCAGACGGCGTCACTCTGTGAAGCACCCACGGATAGTGGGGATGGATTTAGCAGCTTATATGGTCGTACGACTGTCGTATAACGCAGTGTGTGTTTGGGTTTATGTGTGGCGGCCTGAAACAGCTTCGTAAAATGTTATTTGTGGCCGTTTGAGAAGTTGTATACTTTTGTGTGCGGCAGGTTTTTCTGATTATTCTCTTTTTTGGTTTTTTAGGATGAAAATTCGAGGAAAGCCAATAATAGGCCAGATGATCCCTTATAGCTACCTGGTAAGTTGGGCTGTCAATATAATTGAAATTCATATATGAATTAGTGGGTGTCAGTGTATGCTTCACCATGGCATATTTAGATCAATTCCCATCACTGATCTCCTTGTCTTTCTGTCTGTTAGTTGAATTTCAAGTTATTATTCATTTGTGTATACAGTATGTTATATAACTCCATACATTTTTAGAAAGAAGAGTAAATGATTGTCTCCTAGTATGTTTGGAAAGGTAGTTTTAGTGTAATGGGTTAATAATAATAATAATAATAATAATAATAATAATAATAATAATAATAATAATAATAATAATAATAAAAATTTAAAAAAATAAATAAATAAATAATAATAATAACTTCATTTTAAAAAAGTTCTTGAACTTGTGTTCAGGAATGCACATTGGGATATCTAAGATGGCCGGCTGAGAACTCCTGAACACAAGTTCAAGAACTTTTTTAAAATGAAGTTATTATTATTATTTATTTATTTATTTTTTAAAATTTTTATTATTATTATTATTATTATTATTATTATTATTATTATTATTATTATTATTATTATTATTATTATTAACCCATTACATTAAAACTACCTTTCCAAACATACTAGGAGACAATCATTTACTCTTCTTTCTAAAAATGTATGGAGTTTATAACATACTGTATACACAAATGAATAATAACTTGAAATTCAACTAACAGACAGAAAGACAAGGAGATCAGTGATGGGAATTGATCTAAATATGCCATGGTGAAGAGACTTACTGATGAAAATGTTTTTAAAATTGTTACCAAGAAAGCTGTAAAATAATCGGTACTGAAGTGGCAGAATTTAACTTACTATATAACAAAATATAATTTGAAATTTGAAACCATACTACTAGACGATGCTGATCAACTCCACAACTCTTTCTATGTAAACACATTCGTCAGATTAAGATCTCTATCTATACAACAAATAGGTTTAGAGACTCTTTTGTACCATGTGCAATCCGGCTCAAAAACAAGGAATTTTAAAATGAGGTTAAGGAATAAACTACCTATCTCTAGATACTTTGATTCGAAGCCTATATGCTTATGACTCAGACATATTCTTTAATAAAAAATGTTTTTTTTTATGTATATTTTTTAATGTAAAAAGTGAATCTTTTTTTAGTAGGAAGGAGGCAGATTTATTATATGATTTCTTTTTATTATTTTTTCATAATAGACACTGCAGAAGTTGATTTCTCGTAGAGCTCAGGTACTCAGAGACGCCAAGAAGCCACCAGTACTGCTCTCTCATCAGATCCACCAGATGATCAAGGATGAAAACGTCCTCCTGGATGAAAATATTCTATCACAAAGGTTAGTCCTCTTAACACCTTCCCTTCACTCCACAGTCATCCTTTCGTCTTCCTCTTCCTCTCTTTCAAAGAAATGTTACTGCAAATCTAGTTTCGGTACTTCATCCCCTATCAAGCCTTCATCAGTAAAACGTTACTACCTCCTCAAAACAATAGTTGACAACATTAATGAAATTGCCTTCCTTCTTAGACCCTTCTCAAATTAAAAATTCAATCATCTCACTTAGATCTTACTGTATATCATTATACCAGGAAGTTGGCGTAACATCATAGAGTTTTATTTGTTAACTTTAAAGACTATTTGGGGAAGGGGCTTGATTTTTAAAATAATAAACAAAGGATTTTAAATAGAACAAGATAAGAAATAAAAGAATAAATTAAAGGAGTTACTGTACACAATAAAGAATTGCCATGGGATCTTGATTTTTACAGGCTGTGCGGTTTTTACATGAGACTGGAGTGATGTTACACTATGATGACCCGTCCTACCACCTAAGTGATCTGTATTTCATTGAGCCCGAGTGGCTGTGCCAATTGATGGCTCGTGTTGTTACTGTCAGGGAAATCAACCCATACATCAACCAAAATGGGGTAGGTGATGCTCAGGGTAAACAAACTTAACTGGAGCCCTGAATCATTTTTTAATTAGCCTTATAAGAAATAAATTGTTGCTACATTTTGGATAAAATAAATAATGCAGAATCAGATTTGATTGTATAACCAGATTGAACACTTTTAAAGTGAATCAATTGTAAGGCAATAAATTAAGGAACAAAATATCAAACTGAACAGAACCAGCATATCTCAACCACCATTTTAATACAATTTCTAGAAGGCGTAATCACAATACTAGGCAGAAATATATCAATTACAAAACTACCATATTTATTCAAATAAATGCCAGGCATTTATTGTTGAGAATGGTTTTTGAGGGAGGCATGTATTTGAGGGAGGCTTTTATTTTTTTGGTGTAAATGGGATACGTTTATACTCAAACAAATGCCTCTTTCATAGTATATGTGCAACTACAACACATAATTACCATCAAAATGCGTCATTGTGTGATCATAAAAACTAATTAATCCCAACCAGGCTAGAAAAAATGCAATCTACTGGAGTAGAATGTTAAAGGAAAGGTTAAAGGTTATTCATTATTATTATTATTTATGTTGATAGAATGATGTTGAGAATGACATGTTTCTTCCAGTAGTTTTGTTCATTTAGGGGGTGGGGGCCTATATTAGAGAAGAAATAAATGTCCCACAGCGTTTATTCAAGGGAGGCATTATTCCAAACGAGGCTCTGGAGGGGGCATTTATTTGAGGGAGGCGTTTATTTAAAGCGGGGCATTTATTTGAATAAATACGGTAACAGCTTAATAATAACACATTTATTATTATTATTATAATGATAATAATAATAATAATAATAATAACACATGTTATGCTACCTCTATAAAAGTATAGAACAACTGCCCATCTTAATGAGAATGAACCACCTGGCAACTGCAGTTATTTAGGACTAATAATAACAGTTAATAATATTAATTTAATACACAGAGGCCTACTCTAACCTTAATAACTCTCTATAAAAATGTTTATGTTAGTTATACATAAAATGAGCTGCATTTATCCTTGATACTAATTTTTTCATAATTAGAGACATTGATGTTTAAGGGATCTGATAAGGGAGTTAGATAAGGGACCTATCTACTGTATATATATATATATATTTTATATTCATTTCATCTATATATTTTATATTAATTTCATTTATTCTTTATTTTGTAAACAAGTACATTTAAAATATAACTAAAGACAAATTAATAATATCGAAATACTGTACTGTACAATGAATAAAATTACTAAGAATAAAATTACCAAGAAGCTCATGGACACAGCAGCTGGTTCAGAACTATACTAAAACTCCAAGAATATATTCCCATTTTGCATGCATTGCTGAGCCATGAAATGCAGTATTCTTAATGCACATAATAAAACTATTGGTAGAACTTTGAAGTCTTTGCCAAAAACCATATGTGGATTTTCTGAGGTTTTCCATAAAGGATAATAAACCACAGTTAACAAACATGGCTGAGGCACTATTGTGGTGTGGTAATTTAAGTATCATACGTAATGCGTTTTATAACAAACTTACAATTTCTTCAATGTACCTTTACTATAACTAGACCATAATGATTCACAATACATATTTATGCAGAAGGATTTAAACAACATGCATTTCACCTTATCAGAACATTTACTAAACTTTCTAGCAAGTGAATTAGCTCTTACACTTAAGCATCGATACTGTCGCATAATATCTGTATCATCTTTAAGCTCATTGTTTATATTGTGTCCAAGATATTTAAATTCCTTTACAAATTCAAGTTCGCTATTGCATAAAAATACTTCAGGTTTACCTGTAAACTTGCGCTGTTTAGGACATAATAGCATGCATAAAGATTTCTTAGCATTATAAGTGATATCATGTTCAATTGCATATTTCTCACAAATATCAATAAGCCCCTGCAATCCAAATAGACAGGGAGCCATTATCACCATATCATCAGCATAACTAAGATTGTTGATTTTAACATCAGAGATAATGCAGCCATAATTAGATTGGTTTAGGTTATTATTGAGCTCATCAATGTAAAAGTTATACAGCAATGGAGACATGACTCCACCTTGCCTAACTCCATTGGTAACAGTAAAAGATCTTGAGTACGTACTTCCCCAACGAACAAGAAAACACTGATTATTATACCAAACCATGAGGATCTTAACAATAGTAAGAGGCATACCCTTGTTAATAAGCTTTTTGAACATACACCAATGATTCAGTTTATCAAATGCCTTAAATGCATCTATAAAACAACAATACATAGGACTACCATTTCGTTTATAGTAATCAATTACTTGTTTAAGCACAAAAATACAGGTATCAGTTGAGTAACCTTTCTTAAAGGCAAATTGATTATCACCCAAGTTAAGAACATCATATGAACATTCAACCAATATGGATTCAAATATTTTAAAAATGATACAAGCAAGTGCAATTGGTCTATAATTATCTTTGCTACAAATGTTACCAGACTTGGATTTGATAATTGGTACCAAGATAACGCGACACAGTTTACTAGGCACATAGGCATTTCGAAGCATAGATGTAAAGAGTATACTTAATAAAATGCTTAAACGTGGGCCAGCAAATCCCAAATGCTCGCTTGTAGTCTTATCAAAACCTGCTGCCTTGCGTAAAGCAAGCTTATGAAATAACCTTACCACTAGCATTTCCTGCATAAATGTGTGTAGGACCCTGGGTGGAGGGTAACGGCTGTCTCTTATACACATCTCAATATATAGGCCCCTTATTTAACTCAAATCTTCATTTCATCAAATCATTTCTCATATCTACAGTAAGTACAGATCTTCCAAAATACCACATTTTTCTTAAACTAAATTATACTTGTCCTATCTAATTACAAATAATTTTTTAGTATTGATATGTAATCTTCAATACCTTTTGTCCTTGCATCATTTGTCGTCATTACATAGTGTTCAGCTAGATTTACACTAGACACGATAACGAAATGACTACATAGTTTGTATTCTTCAACACTGCACGCATCTGTATCGTGTCGTCGTGTCGTAATCGCGTCTAGTGTAAATGTACCTTCAGTATTTCCTTTTCATCATTGTCTTGGCTATGATGTTCGTCATCTTTCATTCTTTATTTGCCAAATCGTTGGTGCAAAAGAACGTAAACATTCAACCCAGGATACGTCTTCAATGAAAAATACACCAAAGCATGCAGGGGAAACTGACATAAAAACAAACTATTACAATATACCTTTTTTTCTTTACAAATTTATGAATTATACACAGAAAGAATAAAAAGTGATTAATTGGAAATGAGAACAGTTCTGCCATTCACAAGAATGTGTTGCATTCCATATCGCCTAACTGGATGCCAATGCAAGTTCACTAATTTTTTTTTAACTGTTTTAACTTTCCTAGAATTAAATTTTAAAATATCTTTAAGTCTATTTTCATTATTATTTTGTTAGAAGTCCTTTCTAGGCACAAAAGTCGCCAAGAAAAGCTAACAAAGGTTTGAATACTATTCAGTTTTATACTTGTGGACTTTTTCGATATTTAGCTCTACAATAGAAACAAGTATTTTCAACATTTTGCCTCTTTTGACAAGAGCTTCAATGTATTTGTAATGCTGATTTGTAAAAAACTTAATTGTTTTAATTTTCTCGATCCATTCTTGATCATTTTACATTTCCAATTTTTTTTTAAATAATCTGCTTGCTTTTTATGTTATTTTTTTGGAGCCACTCTCTTGGGCTTATTTGGTTTCTCCAGATACATTGCATTCAGTCTAAATATTTTTTTTCCTCTTCAGTGATGGCGCCAGGGTCTGCCCGACAGGGGGGGCGGGCTAAAGGCCCCGACAGGGGGGGCTAGGTGAGCGAAGTAAGCCAGGGGGGGGGAAGCGAAGTCCCCTGGAAGCTACGCATATTTAACAAATTTTGGTGAATTTTTATTAGTTATTTGATAGGCATCAAGCTACGATAATATGACTTCATGTATGTTTTATAATGTTGAAATTAACTTCCAAAACCGAAATTTTTTCAATAGAACAACAAGAAACAAAGAGCATGAAATGTAACCAACTAACTTATTTTACAATCCGTTTTCCATTTTATATTATTTAAAAAAAACAAAAACACCATAACATTACTTTCCTCCCATCATGGCAAAATCCAGGTTTTTCATAAATAATCCATGTGATTGTTAATTATTAATAACAAAATTAAGAATAAGAATAATGTCTTACTGTAAATTGTAAGGCAACCAATTTGTGACATTATAAAACACAATGTCACCGGAACGTCACAGTTCAAGCTTATAATTTAAAGTAAAGTCTGTAAAATCTGTAAGCTACGAGGTTGCTTCCCCAATCAAAATGTCTTTGAAGCATCAGGATATCCAATCAAGCATTTTTCATAGTAGAACGTAAACCATTTTTAATTAGTTTAATTGAACAGGGGCGGATCCAGAATTTTTAAATCGGGGGGAGGGGCATTTGTATTCTTTTTTTTCTTATTTCTAAACATAATATAAATATGCACTGACATTTAAAAAAAATAGTGTCAAAACGCTGTTTTGAAACTTGTCACTGTTCTACTGACGTTAAAATTCTATAGATGTTTGAACGTAATTAATTCACTGTGAAGAATATCTTGTTTCATAGGCTTAATCCAGTGTGAAATGTATGGTTGCTAAACGAACAGACATGTAAAAAAGATTTTTTATCCCCCACAGAATGTACTCGTCTTCCCCAATGGGGAGGGGGGGCTAGGCTTCCCCGATGAGGGATCTATAGCCCCCTCAGCCCCCTCTGGTGCCACCACTGTTGCACTTACTAAATACCATACATGCATTGTGTGAATATATTATTTGAATCCAAATTTTATATTTGTACATTTTTGAAAAGAAATACCAGGTTATGAAAAATAATTTTTAATTAATTTAGTGGGGTGGGATCGCATCTTGTTTCTTGATTGTGCTGCAGCA